TGTAAAACAGATGAGACTTCATTAACATAACCCTAGCGTAAAGTTGACCCTAGAAGTTAAAATTTATTCAGGTAAATTTTTTGGTAGGAGTAACAAAAACTAAAACTTATTTACCTACCAAGAAAAGACTGTGAGTAATTTGATTTTACTTGTATTATTAGATGAGAAATGATAATTATCATGATCTAAAGGAATTTATGGGGCAAACCCCTAGAAGAGGTCAGTACAAAAATAAAGTGGGTGACGCACAGTCAAGAGAGTGCAGAACATAGCACAGGGGTCTGTTACAATGTGAGATACAACCTGAAAGCAAATTCCTATAGATCTTTCATGCACTAAAATGTCAGTATTTTTCTCCAAATAGAAGTTTCAAAGAATATTCATATATATGTTAAATATAGTAAAAGATGATTAATCTGCTAAGTGTAAGAAATCAAAAATTATACGAATTTTTCCACAAGGGAAAAACTTTAGCCACTTTAATGTGGAAAATATAATTTTTACCTCTGTGGTAGAGACTGATATTTTTATAAGTAATTTGGCAGAGGCCACCACAAAGCAAGAAAAAGTGTGGGCTATTGTAAGTGCATGTTACAAAAGAAGATAATCAGTCCTGTTGAAGACAAAAGAGTCCATCAAGCTTTTGTGTGAGGCAGTGTGGGCCCCACAGAGCACAGGAAATCACAAGGAGACAGGGAGTTGAGATGAAAATGATACACACAGCATGCATTCATCATTCATCAAAGCAGATACATGGGCACACAATTACTATTATTTGTTGCCTTTATGCTGTGAATACTAATTATAAAAATACTAACTATAAAAAATATTTATTTCTAACTGTGAGTTAGAAAATCACCTTCAAGGCGAGCAGAAAACAAGCAAAGAATGACTAACACAGACAAGATCAGAAATAAATTTTGTGACACTGGGTGTGGTGGGGCATCTTTAATTCCAGTACTTGGGCATCTCAGATAGGAGGATCGCTGTGAGTAGGAAGCCAGTCTGGACTACAGAATGACATCTTTTCTTAAAAAACAATTTGAAAAAGAAAAAAATAAAGGAAAGAAAGACAGGGAGGGAATAAGCAGAGGAGGGAGGGAGAGAGAAAAGGAGATTGGGTGGAAAACAATAGAATCTGGAGTTAGCACAGATAAATATGACTCAGAGTTTACAAAAGAGAGACAATGCAAATAAGTAATATTTGGAATTATAATAGTACACATTCATATTTTTGTTTTAAGATTTATTTATTCTTATTTTATGTTTTGCTTGCATGTATATGTGTACCACATGTGTGCAGAGCTTGCAAGGACCAGAAAAGGGCATTGGATCCCCTGGAACTGGCATTATAGACACTTAACTGCAATGTGGGTTCTGGGAACCGAACCCGGGTCCTCTGCCAGTGCTCTTAACCACTGAGTCATCTCTCCAGTCCATAATGGCACTAGTTTTTATAAATCCTGATTATGCAATCAATTTGATGATGTTGAATTCAAAAGTTCAGAAAAAGGAGAATGGGATTGTCAGTGGGTAGCAAAATCTAGTGTGTGTGAATTCCTGGAGGCATCCCAGTACTGTTAATGATAATAATAACAACAGAAAAGATCATGTTTTAGAACTGATATAAATTGTATCACAAGGCTATTTTTATTTATAAACACAGACACACAGAGACATACATACAAATACACATACACCCACAATGCATATAAACACATATGTTTATATTAGTAAACATATAAAAAAAATCAAGGCCAGGAGAGGATTTGTGACTGGCCTGAAGGGTTAGAGTTAGAAAGTTGTGAGGAATAATATGCACTTCAAATTAAAGACTGTAAGACTGTTGATAAAGAACAGTAGATGGGGCTGGAGAAATGGCTCAGTGGTTGAGAATATTTGCTGGTCTTGCAGAGCACCTATGTCTGGTGATTCAAACCATCTGTAACTCCAGCTTCAGAAGATCTGATGCCTCTGGCCTCTGTGGGCACATGTATTTCTCTCTCTCTTTCTCTCTCTCTCTCTCTCTCTCTCTCTCTCACAATTAAAAAATAAATAAGAATAAATCATTCTTTAAAAGATCAGAAGAAAGTTGAGCAGAAGTGCCTACGAAAAAGACATAATCTTTAAACTGTGTCCTTACTGCTAATTTCCAGACCAGCTCTCTTGAAAAGAGCCCACAGCCTCACCTGCAAGGCGATGGAGGCAGCCGTGTTCAGGTAGGCTGACTCCCTGACATGGCTCTCAGCGTCTTAGAAACTGTTCCTTCCTTGAAAGAGATGAGAGTATGTTTTCAAAGCCATTTCTCTAATACTGAAAGGTCATGATTTGCTGCTGCCCATGCAGCCAGACCAGTTCCCTGAGCACAGGTGATGATGCTTCATGTTTCCATTTGAGCGTTCCTATGAGGACCTCCACGATGCAGTGTGGAAATCCTTCACTTAAGCATGTATGTCATTTGCCCATCTAATAACTAATCATGACAGCTTGTCAGGCATGACATTTAACATGCCTCTCTACAGTCATATTTCATTACTTTTTGAGACATGGACGCTAGGAAAATGAGCCTAGTGCATTTGAAAGCGAGAGTTAATGTGCTTCATTTATCCATCCAACACTCCCAGAGAGGCCCTTTGCTTAGGCCCCCTTTTAAGAAGAAAAGTGGCATTTTTAGGTTGCTGAAAAATAGATTGATAGATAATTTACTTAAGAGTGAAGATGAGTTCCATGTCTAGCATCTTGGGAAGTGGCAGCATCTGCTAACTTCTATTGCTTTCCCTTTAAGTCCTCCCTGGAGTAAGTCTTCAGCCTTTGGGTACCATGTCATAGTATAATAGACAAAGTATTTGGAAGATGGCTTTTTGGTTTTGTTTTCCTTTTTGTGGTACTAGGGACTGAACCTATGGCTCTGCCACTTTATGACACCAGAAGATGTCATATATTAAAATATAAGAAAGACAAAATACGGAGTCCTTAGTAAAATCCTTCAATGTTATTTCCTCAAAAGAAAATGACCAAATGCCGAGAGTCAGTAAATAAAGTCTTCCTCTTATAGCAGAAGTACATTTTTTTTGTATCTAAACTATACTCAAAATCATACAGGGCATCATAAATCTGAGGAGAGAACCCTGTGAACGAGGTCACAACATATCTAATCCCATGCTAAAACAGAAAGGGGATTAGCAAGGCAACTGTCATATCACCCCTAGCAAGTCCCATCTCCTCTGATTTAAGGCTAAGCAGATAGGCCTGGCTAGAGCGTGGATAGGAAAATGCATGAACTTGCTGAAGCACATAAATATTCAAATGAATGTGCCAGTGACTAGGAGGAGTCTACCCTTCCAAACCTCTGAACAGGCACCTGTGTGTTGAAGTGTGTGCGAGGGGTAGGGAGCATATCTGATAGAAAGACCTAGGAAGAGATTTGTGAATGGAAGAAAACACTACTGGAAAAGAATAAGAATTTGTTGCCATCAAGTATAATGAGCATTAAAACAAGACTGGAATTATTTATAGCAAATTTATTCTATAAGGATATCAAATGGGGAGAAGTGGAAAATATTATGTCAGTGAGAATTTTTCAGGCAAAATCGGTGGCTGAGTGAACAGAATAGAGGTACCTCTAAGACAGCCAGGACACAAACACAGGGAATTGTTAAATATCCCCCTCTCCCAGGCAGTACCTGAAGTCAATTGTATCAGAATTGCTAGACGTGACCAGCTATCAGTATATTTTAAAGCTCCCTCAGGGTTCTAATGAGCCAGATTTAAGAATTACTGACCTAGATCTTTGTAGCCTCCTGCTGTCTTCTAAGCAGGCTGATCCTTGCATTCAACAAGAACTTACAAAGTATCTATCTCATGCCTCACAGCATCCTAAGCAATGGTGATGAGAATGTTTGACCAAAAAAATGAATGAGACACACTGTTGCCTTCTAGGATGTCAAAGTCCATGGAAAGGTTTATGCAAAATCCTAGTATTCATTGTAATTAGGAACAGAGCAGTAGCTCATATTAAAGAGCTAAAAATATATAAGCTGTGCATTTAGTATTGTCTACCATATGACGTGTATGCCCAGATTCTCCTACTCAGTTTATATTTCGCTTTGTGTTTTAGGAAAACAGTAACTTCCATGGACTGCTTTTCTTAGTAAATGCTTAACTGTAAGCTAATAAAAGCAGTAATGGAGAACTAAGGAAACCAGAAATGCACAGTTATCTGATGGGACCCCTGTTTGCAATCGTCCTAGTTACCAAACTCCATTGTAAGAATGTTTAACTAGTCACCAGTAAGTTTGTCTTTATAGTCAATTTTTAACTGATCATCCACTCTATAAAACCCACAAACTAAAATTAGAGGGGGGTACCCACAACTTAGGATAGCTCATCTGGGACCCCTAGGGATAACGATAAAGAAGTGAGCTCTCCAACTCTCTGATTAAAGTGCTTGATTTCTCCTCTCCCTGATTACATAACAATAGTGTATTATTTACAATGCCCTATGCTGACCAATCATAAATATGTATCTACTCCTGTTATCCTCCCAGTTTTTCAAGTACCTCACTTTACAGATGATAATTTGCATAATTTGTAGAATATGGCAGTGTTTATTACATGGCACCCAGCAGCTTTTAGTCCTGACCATACCAAGCACTGTGGAAGTCACAATTAGTTGAGGTGAAGGCCCAGAAAAGAAAGCAAATAATTCACCCAGAACAGAAAGGCATCCTTGTTAGGGGGAACTTCAGCATAAAATAACATGAGGATTTTTCCAGGAAAGGCTAGATGACTAGATGACATCAGGTTAGAATAACTATAAAGATAACTAGGTAGATGAGTCTTTTTTTTGTTAAGCTGAGGCTCTTAGGAGCCAACCAGGCTTTCCCCATCCTCCAAGCTACTCTTGGGACACTTGGCTGAACATGGCAAGGAAGAGTTCAAGCAAAATAGTTTTGCTCCTGAGGTTCTGATCATTACACAGTAACGGACAAGGCACCTACCAGCTCCTCGTTGTTGAGGGAGGTCCTGATGACCATAGCGAGGGACAGACCAGATTTCCGGGCAGCCAGGGTCTGAAACAAACAGGATTATGGTGGATTAATATATAGATGAAGTGACAAATACGTATTTCAGAAGGTGAAATCACAGGAGTACTGCCAGTCACTGTCCATGTTTCATGTTTCAGTGAATTGGAGGAAGGCTTTCCATGAGTGAGACTCAGTCAGACATCCAGCGTAGGAACTCACTAAATGTCGAAGCCAGGGAGGATCCCAGAGATGCCCAAACCCAACCCTGATGTTTCTACTGGATGACACTGAAGCCCTTAGAGGCAAGATGACCAGTCACAGGTTTCTGGGTTAGTAAGAGGTTTCTAAAACTTTGTTAGTACCCAAGGTGCACACGATCACAATATGTTGAAAAACATGGGATTGACATTGAGCCAGTCTGACTTGGAGGCTGACCCTGAACCACGCCTGAGGCTATGTGGGTCTGAGGTGTTTCTTAGAAGATTTTTCATAACTAGCAATGATATACTTTCCCATACGATCATTTTAACAACTGAGTATCAATGTTCCTACATTTCTTTTCCTCACTTAGTGCTGGTAGTTTTAGTGATCTTAAATAAGTCTAGTGCTTTTAGTTCCCATGTCTGAAAGACTGAATCATTATTACTTGGTTTCCACCCAAACATTCGTTGTATCATAAACCCATTACCACTATGGAGAAATTTATAAACAAGAAATTTCAAATAAGATATTAAATATGTCATCCCACCAGAAGCAAAGGGAAGTCGGAGGGGAATGATGCATTTCTGACTGTCCGTACATTCCCATCTCCTCAGAAATACACATTCTCAGGGTTATGAAGCTATAACTTAGATGAAGTTTTATATGTGCCCCATCAAAGAAGCCCCCATGCCTGTCCATCTCCACCCTACTGTGTCAACCTGTAAAGGGTTATTTCCAAAGGTTTACCCAGGATTATTCTAACTCTCACCTCTACTAGGTACGTGCACTTTATTTCTGTTACTATAATAAAATCCCCAGAAAAGTTTCATTTGGCTCACAATTTCAAGTCACAGTCCATCATTTTCTGGATGTAAAGGCATGAACTCAATCAGCTAGTCATTTCATTCAAGAGCAAAGAGAGAAAACACAGCTTTGGTGGCCTGCTTGCCCTCAGCTAGCTTTCGCCTCTCTTACACTGTTCAGCATCCCTGAACAGGAATGGTACCCTCCACAATGGGCTGGGTCTTCCTATATCAATTAACAATCAAGATAATCCCCCACAGGCATGTCCATAGGTGACCTGATCTGGATAAAACCCCTTTAAGACTTCCCAAGTGATTCTAGGTTTTGTCATGTTGACAGTATAATCAGTACAAAGTTTTTGTCCCCACACTTATATTTTTCAATTTACTGTGTATTTATCCTTGTTATGCACAGTTTGGTTTTTCAAAACTGAACTTGATAAGTTCTTGAAGAACTTAAACATGGGTGTGTGTGCGTGTGCATGTGTGTGTGTGTGTGTGTGTGTATGTGTGTGTGTCTAGAATAGAGAAGAGAGACAGAGAAAGAGACAGAGACTCACTATGTAGCCCTAGCTGGCCTAGAACTCACTATGCAGACCAGTCTGGCCTCTAACTCATGGGTGATTTTCACCCCTCTGCCTCCAAACTTAGAATTACAGACATGCCTGAGAATTTAAATTTGTTATACCTCTCAGGGTCTCCGTTTCCACGTCCTGCTCTCTTTCACCTCATGATGAAAAGCAGTATATGTTTGAGAAGGCTGGTGATAACTGAATAAACTGAAAAGCACTTACCATGGCCTGAAGATTCCAGAGGCAGAAGGGAACAAAATGAAATTATTAAACATATGAAAGATGGGAAGAGTATAACAATATTAAGTGAGTCTAACAGTTTAACAGGCCTATCTGATGTAAACTGAGCTAACCTTACCAAGATGCCCTGCATTCAATACAAGATCTTTCCAGGTAATTTTCTTTTTCTTCCTTCCTTCCTTCCTTCCTTCCTTCCTTCCTTCCTTCCTTCCTTCCTTCCTTCCTTCTCTCTCTCTCTCTCTCTCTCTCTCTCTCTCTCTCTCTCTCTCTCTCTCTCTTTTCTTTTCTTTTTTTTTTTTGTGGAGAGTATGGAGAGCTGACATATCATGCTTTCTTCTTTCTTTCTTTCTTTCTTTCTTTCTTTCTTTCTTTCTCTCTCTCTCTCTCTCTCTCTCTCTCTCTCTCTCTCTTTCCTTTTCTTTCTTTGTTTTATGGGAAGACTGGAGAGTTGGCTCATCAGTTAAGAGCAGTGGCTGCTCTTGCATAGGACCTGGGATCGATTCCTCACACCCACATGGCAGATAACAACCGTCTGAACTCAAGTTCCAGGGGAATCTGACACTGTCTTCTGACCTCTGTGGGTATTGGATGACATGGGTTTATTTACATGCATGCAGGCAATACACTCATACAGATAAAATTAAAATAATAAAAAATACTTAAATATTTGTTTTTAATTATACATATATGTGACATATATGTGCACATAAGTACAGGTGCCAATGGAGTCCAGAAGAGGTTGTTGGATCCCCTGGAACTTCAGCTATAGGTGGTTTGTGAGCTGCCTTGACTTTGGTGCTGAGAACTGAATCAGGTCCTCTGTAAGAGCAGCAAGCACTGTTAACCATTGAGTCATCTCTCCAGTCCTGACCCTTTGTTTTTAATAACGTAAGTCAGGCCACTATCCCACTCTCAGTTCTTAGATTTCTTGATGGTCCTCTGAATATTTCATCACAGGAGCATAAGTCATGTTCAGCCCTAGTAAAAACTTTAATGATGTGGGAACTGCACTTTTCTTTAGATAGAAGAGGTTATTAATTTGGCCAAAATTGACCATACCATAATAAAAATTTATTAGCATTATCTGTTTCTGTTACAAAGCTCTGGAGTCAACTGTGTTAAAATGAAGAAATTCAAAGCAAGCATTATACTTTGCGAGTTAGTCTTGTAGTCGTCCATCACACTGAACATCAAAGTCCATTTCTGATAGCTTACAGTGCTATGTCATTTCTGTTGGCTTAATTTAGAGTCATTTTAGCTTAAATTTGTAATTTCAACTAATATCAAAAGCAGTTGAAAGGTTAGAGTCATTTCTTCCATCAGATGTTTTAAAAGAATTAATAGATGTATTAACACTGGGTAGACTCTGCCCTCATATATTTTACTTTGAAATATTTATGGGCTAGCAGTTAATGAGGACTTTACATTTGGATGGAAAATGTCTAGGCATGCAACCAGTGAGAACTAAACAGGAGTAACTCACCACATCTCGCACAATAGGCAATGTCTTTTTCCTGCGGAGATCAGGCATGCTGTCAATTCCATAGAGTCCACGCCCAGCCCTGAGAAGGGGACACAAAAACAATGATTCCAATGGTTAAAATGACATCATATAAACTGTGAAAATATGAAATGGAGAGCATGATTTTGAATCAGTTTGTAAAATAACAAAGACTCATTCCAATGGTTAAAATGACATCATATAAACTGTGAAAATATGAAATGGAGAGCATGATTTTGAATCAGTTTGTAAAATAACAAAGACTCAAGTCTCTAAGTCTTTGTCTAGTGTGAAACTTCAGCTATTGCACCTGCTGGTCACCTGTGAGGGGCAGCCCCACGTGCTGAAACTTTGAATGCATGTGGCCTGGTAGACACGCTGTTTCTCTGTATCACTAAGAGGATATTCAAAACGTTTATGTAAGTAGAAATTTGTACCTACAGCAGGAAACAGAACCAAAACATTCTCAGGCAAGACTCATGAAGAAATCTCCTTCATTATAAAATTCCATTTTTGTGTGTGCTGCATTGTTACAGACTCAGCTCCAGAACTGCTTCTCAAGGAATCATTGACAACCTTCCAATGTTTTTGAATACTCTTGAACCTGAAGCTTATCCCTCAAATAAATGCTTCAGAATAAAAGAATGTGTTGCACATGAATGTCCATTATATTTTTGCATAATAACAAAACCTATGTAACTGAAATCTTCATCACAATATATTGATTAAATGAATTTCTGAGAATGCAATAATTAAAAATTTAAGCAAATATTTAAATATGAAAAAGGGGCTGGAGAAATAGCTCAGTGGTTAACAGTACTTGTTGTACAAGCATGAAGATTGGAGTTTAGATCCCAACATGTATATAACAAGACAGGCATCCTACAAGCACCTGCAAGCCCATCTCCAACTGGTGCAAGTGGGAGGATAGATGGGGTTTTCTGGCTCCCAGCCTCGCCTAGAAAATGAAAACACCAGGTTTAGGGAGAGACCCTGCCTCAAAGTAATAGGTGGAGCGTGACAGACCAGCACTGCCTCTTGTGGCCTCTGGACGCACATACACACGTGTGCACACACACACACAAATAAATATATAAAACAAATGTTTTTAAAAATAAGTGTAAGCAGAAAGATTGAGTATTAATAAGTTTAATGTGATCCTACATGTTTATGTATGATTATGTATGCACAGAGAATTCCTAGAAAACTGTTTTTGATGCTTAAAATTGTAGTTGCTTCCTTGGAGTGAAACTGAGTAAGAGGAAAAGAGAAGACTATCATACTGATCAGTGGTTTTCTTTAATTTTTTGTTCATAAAAGAAGAAAGAGTACATGAAGTTATCAGAAAAAAGTGATGGGGAGATATGGGAGGAATTGAAGGGGAGGGAGTAGACATAGATATCATCAAAATACCTTATATGCTTATATGACTGTATGAAATTATCAATAAATTATTTTTTAAAATTATTAATTTATTTTTATTTTATGTGTAGGAGTATTTTGCATGCATGTATTTAAGTGTACCACATGCATGCAGTGTCCACAGAGGACAGTAGAGGGCCTGGAAGGTGTGGTTACAGATGGTTGTTGTGGGTGAGGTTTAATACAGGAGTCCTATACATTCTGCAGTTTCTTATTTTCTAAAACTTAGCCAGTTGTGGCCTTTTGTGTGCATCACTCTCCTCCTCCTCCTCTTCCTCCTCCTCTTCTTCCTTTTCTTCCTCTTCTTCTTCCTCCCTCTCCTCCTCCCCCTCCTCGTCCTCCTCCTCCTCCTCCTCCTCCTCCTTCTTCTTTTTAAGACTAGGTCTCAGGCTATCCTTGAACTCACTATATAATCAAGAATGACTTTGAATTTTTGATCCTCCTGCCTTTACTTCTCAAGCTCTGGGATTAACACCCTGTGCCACCACACCTGGCTTCTGTGAGACAAGGCATCAAACCTAGGGTTTTGTGGATGGCAGTAAAGCACTTTGCCCACTGAGTTGTATCTCCAGTTTTGAACCCTTTTTTGTACAACAAATATAGTCATGTTATACAGCTGAGAAAGTTCTAAGATCCGATGAGTTTGGTCTCCTTATAATCCAACTTGGTCTGTAAAACTCTAGATGATTTCTTGCTCATCTGGTCAGGATCAGGATGTTCACCTTGAACAGCCCATACCCTATCCCTTGGGGCAGTTTGGCAGTTGTGACAGGGATGAACACAGTTAACAACAGGGTATTGGTATCTTATAGTCCAATTTTTCTGTGACAAAATATTGGCCTCTTCCGTAGTTGCTTAGCTTAGTAAAGGACAACTTTTGTCTTAGTGAATTTTTCCTAGTTGCTTTAGTTTTAATTTCAGTACTCTGGTAGAATTAAATATGAATTTGGGAATTTTAGACAAATAAATCATTAAATTCATTATACAACTCATAAAATAGTAATAAAAGTAAAGTAGCAATGAAGATAAAACAACACTAAATGGGTAACAATAAAGCTACAATTTATATGTTTGGTAATGAACATCCCATCAAATAATAAATGTGGAACCTGGTAAATGCTGCATACACATGAGGGGCTGGGGCTGAGAAACTGCTTTTAAAATCATCAACTTAAATTTGAATATGGCACAAAGTAAAATCATAAACTTACTTAAAACATTATGGGTTTTTAAAAACTTGATTGGTTTGTGGACCATGAATTACGTTACAATGTCAAAAGGTTGGACATGCGTGGTTTAGACCACATGACAAAGGATGAGGTTAAAAGTGGAACAGAGATTAAGATATATAACAGAAGAGAGAGAGAGAAAAGATGGAAAATCAACACGAGCAGTGAGGAGAGTTGAGTTTATCACTGCACGGCAGAGAAGCTAACACACCAGCTAACGCACCACATGAACCAGGTATGTGGCCTGTGCCTGCTGTCCAGGCTGACAAGAGGCTGAGGGAAGGCAGCCTGATTGAGACCAGGAGTTTAAAGCCAGTCTGGACTACACAGAGTGAGACCCTGTTTCAAGAAACCTGAACAAAGCAAGCAAACAAACACCTACTAAGTGGTTTGCTACTCCTGAGACTAATTCTAACGGCTCTGTAGGCCAAGGGTTGTGACGGCCACAAGCGAGTCACAAAATGCCCTTGGGGGAAGAGCCGCTTGTTCTCTTCTTCTTCCTCTTCTTTTACTTCCCCATCCTCCTCTTCCACCTCTTTTTCTTCTTTTTGATAAAATAATAGCTTTTTCTTTTCATATTTTTTATTTCATCATTTGTTTTTAGTTGACTGATAATTGTGTATATTTACTGAGTGTCGTGTGATGTTTTGATCTATGTATAAGTTATAGGAAGATCGATCAGATTAACCCTTCACCACACCAGGCTCTCATTTGTGTGTGTGTGTGTGTGTGTGTGTGTGTGTGTGTGTCTGTGTGTTGTGAACATTCAGTGTTCTTCTTTACTTTAAAATGCTGCAGACTGGAAAAGGAAAAAGGAACTAATTTTTCTACACACCTACCTTCAAAAAGCACACCACCTACTCAGAAGTTTGATGTTTGGCTTCCCTTCTCCTTTTAAGTTTCTATCTTCCCCACATCAATTCATGTTTGACCCACTGACTTGCATATAGCTCACAAACTATGTAAACAAGTTTCAAGAATATTTCCTATACCCTTTACTCCAGTTTTAGGCTGATGCCACACAGTGTCTCTACTTTCCCCTTTGTGAACAGTAATAATGGTATAAACACCACATTAGTAAATATATTCCATAATGGTGCATATCAATCATACTAACCAGCTGCCTGAAAGTATTTTGAAATGTTTTGACTGTTAAATAATGTAACTTTCACAGCTTTGTAAAGAAATGTGCTCAATTAAGGTAATGCTTGAGAAAGTGATTTCATAAACGGCAAAACATGTGGAATCAAGCTGTGCATTTTATTCTTATCAATAACTGTATTTTTCCTTATGTTTTCCCTCTTCTCATGGATCATAATTGAAAGTACAAATTGATGCCCAGAAGTTTGGGACAAACTGATAGATTCACAAGTCTGGGAGTCAGTTGCATCCATTTCTTAAGCCTGTCACTTCCATCTTGTGCTTGTTTGTCTAAGCAGGGCACACATATCAAAGCCCTGTGCTAAATCTGAGCACAGTGGAATCACTAGTCCAAGGTAGAAGATGGGCATCCAAAGTCCACCTCTGCCTCTTAGTATTTGTCATTTAATTTCACTAAACTTAAAATTTTTAATTTGGAAATTTAATAAAATGCATTTTCAAAAGATTTTTAAAAATTTTAACTATGTATATATGTGTGCATCTATATGTGGGTATGTATATGTAAATGCAGGTGTCCACAGAGGCTGGAAGAGGATGTCAGGTATCCTGGAGCTGGAATTACAGACGGCTATGGGCTGACAGACTTGGGTGCTGGCAGCCAACTTGGTCCTATGCAGGAGAAGTATGAATTCTTACCTACTAAGCCATGCTTCCAGCCCCCCAAAAGCATTCTTAACCATCACAGAGAGGGATATTTCTTTAATAAGGCCACGTTTCCTTCTCCTTTTACAGTTTCACTATCACTGTAAAACATTCATATAAGTATATGTTTTGGTGGGCTTATCTATCAAGTAATAATAAAACTTTCACTGCAAACCTAGACCTTACAAAAAGTCTGGACTAGGTGTGTGTCACAGGGCTAGAATTCTTGTCTAGCATTTCTGGAAAACCTGGGTGAAATCCTCAACTCAAATAAATAAATGAGGTCTTCCCACTGGCTTCACAGCATTGATAGAGAAATACTCAATAAATATTGTAAAATTGCACAAATGTGAAGACATATTCATCAGAAAAGAGGCAGGAAAGATTAAAGTTTTAAAATGAGTAAGACTAGAATTATCAGGGGGCTAGAGAGATGGCTCAGAGGTTAAGAGCACCAGCTGCTCTTACAGAAGATCAGAGTTCAATTCCCAGCACCTACATGGTGGCTAACAACCATCTGTTAGTCCAGTTATAGGGAATCTGACACTCTCTTCTGACCTCCATGGGCATTGCATGACTTGGATGCACTTACATACATGCAGGCAAT